TTGATAAATGAAATATGATTCTGATGCTCTATCGACAGCTCAAAGACCTAGAGCCTAGAGCCTAGAGCCTAGCCTTCGAACAAGTTGAACTCTAAATTCCAAATTCTAATTTTGCAGCAGCATTCTGCCTTGAAGTCCACATCCTCTGGGAAGTTGCTTTGTTGCTTGGTGCAACCGCTGACGTTTTCGAGTATCGCGATCCTGCAGAAGTTGGGAGGGCGGTCACGCTCTGCATTTGGAAAAGCTCAGAAGCATCGTATTTAGCTTAGCTTAGCTTGGTTTGAAGCTTGGTATGTTGCGGCGCCTTGGTCTGAAGATTCGTATGTAGCGGGATGTCTCCACGAAAGGCAAGATTCGTTTTTCCTTGAAACATGAAAATATGACCAAAGATTAGATTGCATTGATCAATAGTGACGGGAATTCGGAATTGGTGCAAGTGCAGTCAGTGTGCATTTGCCTTCGTCTCAAACATAGAAGCGACGGAGTGATATTGGAATCTGCTTGTTGATTCCTGGCTGTAAACCTTGCAGACAAATCCTGCGATGAAAATATCATCCGCAGACCACCCCTGCGACAAGGAAGACCAACCACTCCAAACTCTTCAGCAATAGTATCAGCACAACAAGCGCAGTATCAGTATCAGTACCAGCAAGTTGTTCTAGACCCAGAATAAATCAAGAAAAGGCAAAACCAAACACAGGTTGAGTCAACGCCTCTTCTCCATAACGAGGGGGTGGTGAGCAATATCGCTCATGTTTTCCACATCGGCCTCCTGTCCTGCACCAAAATCAAAAAAGAACAAACACGCTTTGCAAGAGCACTGAAAACAGGCCCACTCCTGCTGTAAACCATGTCATTGTAGCAGTGGTCCGGATCAAAGTTCTTCAAGAAGAACTTCCGTGTTGGAGCCTTGGGTGAACCCGGGAACACGCTAGAAGGTTTTCAATGAAAGGGCAAAACTATTTGAATACAACCACTCATTTCATTGCACAGGAACGTGAATCTCTGAGGAAACCCTTTCCTTGTAGTTTTCCCTAGATACCAGCATATCCAGTGCATGTGATGGAGCACCACTCCCTGTGCATCCGGTAGCACTTGCCTTAGGAGCGCACCGACCTAAAACATCCTAAACTAGATTGGACTCGGACTGAATTTTGTGGGAAGGTAGAACTGAACAGTTCATCTAAGTAGTGGTGGAGTGGTACATCCTCTAGCCTATAGCCTATAGCCGAAAATACAGGCATGGCACCAAAGGCTCTTCTAACTGCACTTTCCGTGCTTCCGGCTTCACATCCACGGCTTCCAAAAAGATGTTTGCCCACTGGATCTCTCTTTCCAGAAGCATCTTGATTTGACCTCGCAATAAAGTATCTGGTGCCCCGGACGCAAAAATTCCAAGCATTCTGAAATCTTGTTTGTGATTTCCTTACTTGCGTTACGAATTGTTCTGTTATTGACTTGCTTTACCCAGCCTTGGGGGTGTTCTTGACCTGTTGCGGTACAAGGCATTCAGCGGCATGCCAGAAATATGGCGCAACCGCAGCTAAAAACTTGTCTGTCACAAATCATTTGCAGCATAACTTAACCAAACAAATTATTTTGCAAATAACAAGCTGACCTACCCCTTCAAATACAACTTGCATTCTGGAGGTGTTCCGTCATCAGGCGCTTGATCCACCATGGCCGCAAGTTTTAGCTCTTGCACTTTCAATGCACTTTCTTTGTCAAAAAAAAGCACGGTCAAACACTGGAGCCCCTAGTAGCTTCCTTGCTCCTAGTAGTAGGCCAGGCCAGGAGCCCCTAGTAGCGTCCTTGCTCCTGCTAGTCAGGCGAGGAGCCCCTAGTAGCGTCCTTGCTCCCAGTAGTAAGGCCAGGAGCCCCTAGTAGCGTCCTTGCTCCTATTAGCAAGGCCAAGAGCCCCTAGTAGTACCGCAACTACCACCTGAACCACCTGCATCCAGCTGTTGTCAGTCTAGCAAACCTTTCCTGTCACTTAACCACATCTCCAGCACTACATCTTGCACCATGATTTCAACCCCTTTCGCATTCCACACCCACCCCCCCAAACCCAGGTCAGCACCACATCTCGCACATGATTTCGACCCCTCCGCATTCCGCACCTAACCCCGCACCCAGGTCAGCACCACA